GAAGAGGCCTGTATTAAAATATATATATACATATATATATATATATATATATATATATATATATATATATATATATATATATATATATATATATATGTATGTATAACGTATGTATGTGTGTGTGTTGTATTTTAATAAAATTCTGCTTAACTGCCTTCTTGTAATTCATTTATTTTCGTTATTTCGGTCTTTTAATATAAACTTGACGTGAGAAGGATGGATGTCATAATTTAATTGTGTATTGAATTGGCTGTTTTGTTGTCGTTTTTATTTTAATAAAATGTTATAATGCTTATTAAGGTTTGTATGGTCGCTTTAACTAGGCAATGAATTGTCACTGTTTAATACAGGCCTCTTCTGTTGACTTACATAGTACATCTATAAGTCAAGTGATCTATGGACGTACTGTTTATGTACGTGTTTTTTAAAATTAAAGTATATATATATAATGTATGTATGTGTGTGTGTGTGTGTGTGTGTGTGTGTGTGTGTGTGTGTGTGTGTGTGTGTATTTTAATAAAATTCTGCTTAACTGCCTTCTTGTAATTCATTTATTTTTGTTATTTCGGTCTTTTAATATAAACTTGACGTGAGAAGGATGGATGTCATAATCAAAATGTAAATGGGATTCAATTTATCATATTCGTTAAACTTTAGTGATGATAAGGCTTCACATTAAATTTTAATTGTGTATTGAATTGGCTGTTTTGTTGTCGTTTTTATTTTATTAAAATTTTATAATGCTTTTTAAGGTTTGTATGGTCGCTTTAACTAGGCAATGAATTCTCACTGTTTAATACAGGCCTCTTCTGTTGACTTACATAGTACATCTATAAGTCAAGTGATCTATGGACGTACTGCTTATGTACGTGTTTTTTTAAATTAAAGTGACTCCCTACGTTATCGAATCTCAAAGAACACAGAACACTAATTGGATTGAATGCAAGTCTTAATCTCACCAACTCTATCTCACATATTCAAACCCTACTTGAAATAAATTATTAATATGTCAGAATGCCCTTATGGTGGGTATATTAGATAATAAAAATAATCCTTACAAAAGCGGAGATGGAAGTAAATTAAAGAATTAGAAAATGAAGAAAAAGCTGTACTAACTTCAAACACCGCTAGCTTATAATTTGTGGGTTGGTTACTGTTTGCATATTTATTTTTATTTTATAGAGTAGGGGGGATAATTCATATATTTAGCTGCAATTTTATGCTGGTATTCGTGAGAGGAATATACTATAATTTTTATACTTATTTTAAGAGCGCGACCCATTCATGCTACTACCGTAATATAGCTACAGCGAGGTTCCACCATGTCAATTTGCTTGGACTAATTATGCCGATTTAGTTAGCATTTCAAAGTTTTATTAGACGCTTTAGTAAAGAATGATTTTACCCCTCTCTTTATTACCTAAAATTAGAGATCAGAAATTATGTTTTATTTTCTTTTGCCTTGGTAGTTCCACGAACTAAGCACGCTTTGAGGCAAGACATTGGTGGAGAAGTGAGGATGATGAAGGCTTTATTTTCTATGATTGACTTACGATACTCGCCTATATACATAACTAGTACACTGGAATCGATAATCCGCATGTCTGAAACCGTATTACCGCATGAACCATGACTACCACCCCCCCAAGTGTGACACGTGGGAGGTCCATGCTTAGCATGAGGTTTTATTAGGCTGTGTGAATGACTCTATTTTAATAAAATAAGGGTGATAAACTGGCACACAGTCCACTTGAAGGTAAATGGATATAGCCATAGAGATCTACATTTATCTTCGATTAATTAACACCATTAATAAACATTGTCACCCCTGAGGACTAAGATGGAATGCCTCGTTTACGGTAAAAAAAGGTTTCCGGATTTCTATACTCACCATTCGAAACACAGGAGTATTAAGCTGCTATTATACGCTGGTATTCTGTGAAAGCGTGGTCCTACCCCGGTCCATATTTGAATTTCAGTGCAAACTCTATGTTAATAAGTAATGTCCTCCAGACCGACGTGGGAGTTTGTCTATATTGTAATACATTTTAAACACATAAATAACTTGAACAAAATATTTTGTTATAGTAAAAAATAATACAGTGTTGTGTATAACTAAATATGAAGTGATTATTTGTGAAAAACAAATATAAACTTAATAGCCAGATTTCGATATGCTTAAATTAGTTAGCAAACAAATCAAGATAGCTTAAGTCCGCATAATCGACCGATACCATAATTAGCCAAGTAAATCTATTTATTTAAAACATAAAAGATTGTTAATATAGATATGATCACAATAACATGTGGTTAGGTTAGCTAATTACGTAATAACTTAAGACATAAGGACCCTTGAGTAGGGACTAAATAAATTAACCAACTTGGTTTTACATGGATCTCACAACTTTTTACGGTAGAAAACCCGAGTTGCGAGACATGTTTTTTTTATAAGTTATGTTTTTGATGGCATATAATCTTAGTAAGAAAGGAAAGAAAAGAACCCAGATGCCGTAGTAAATCCGTAGAATAATATGTCCTTTAACTAAAAAAGACCAAGCTCTCACTTACTTCATTCATTAATAGCCGTCAGGTCACCAATAACGGCAGAAACAACGATAGGTAACCTTCAAGAATTGACTGCTTACACCTAGGGATCATTTGCATACCTGTGATAAAGAGAAGTAATTTTTATCAGATCCAATTAATGAAATAATACTACAAAACATAGATAACAAAAGTAAAGGAGATAACACACTCATTTCAGGCACTCAAGCAGTGTCTGAATAAGCTGCCGTCGGCCTCTAACTTAACTCTGAAATAAACCAGCCACTAATAGAGATATGAAATCATTCAAATAAATAATAATAAAGAAGAAATAAATAACATAGAGTTATATTTTAATACCAGTCAAAACACCAACTTTACTTGCACGCAGTGCACTTTGCTGATAAACGAGTGCAGCTTTGAACACCAACTTGTGTTTAGAAATCCCCATCAAAAAAAATACGAATAAAAATTTCACTGATTGATGATAAAGAGTAGCATTACCAAAATGACAATATGTGGTCTATGTCTACCAACTCACCGAACTCGCCACTAGCCAAGCATAACAAAGGAAAATTTACTAAGCACTTGTTTATAGAATGGGGTGAAAACGAGCACACAGTCCACCTGATTATAAGCAGATATTATTATATGTGTATAGTATATATTAGAGTACGTTGGTCTAGTGGTTGTAGTAGTGCGACTGCTGATCATGAGGTCCTGGGTTCGAATCCTGGGTCGGGCCAAAAAATTAATTATTGAGTTTTTCCGTCAAGAAATTCTCAGTAGTTGCCCGGAGTCAGGAAGTTGGCGGTGTCTCACCCCCGTGCCTCGGAAAGCACGTAAAGCCGTTGGTCCTACGCCTGATCTCTCTCCGGTCGTGTCGGTTTACCGTCCCATCGGATTATGAGAGTGAGGGAATAGAGAGTGCACCCGTGCTTGCGCATACACTTGGGCACTATAATCCTGTCCTGCGCCGATGGCTAGCCTCCGTTGAGGCTGGTCATCGTGGCCGAAATTCGGTCGGTACATTTTGATTATGACATCCATCCTTCTCACGTCAAGTTTATATTAAAAGACCGAAATAACGAAAATTAATGAATTACAAGAAGGCAGTTAGAGATTTTTTAAAATACACACACACACACACTACATACATTATATATATATATATATATATATACTAAATAAGTTTTATTTCAGTCGTGTGGTCATAAGCACACTCGTCTGTTTTTGATTATCAGATGGTATAGAAAGCAATATGATTCATTTTTTGAGGGTATGTTTCAGATGAGTCGTACACCTTTTGCTGGATTTCATTCCTCTTTGAATAAGTCCTCTGGCGAATCTTGTAGATTGACTCTGTGTTATGAGAAAAGTCTTCATTTTTTTAATTAAATATCTACATTTCTTATAAAGGAAATCAAATGAAAAAAGTTATGCTTACATGCGTGTAATATTTATTACAGATAAAAATAACGTAATAAGTTAATAATAAATAAAAAACTTCAACAATTCTCATTATCTTCGGTGTCCATTTACTACTCTCCTAAAAAAATGTGTATTTTTAACCAAAAATATAAACATTAAGTATAAAAAATAACCATATTATGAAATTTTATTAAAAAGCACAACGTTTACACTTAAAATAAATAACGATAACCCCACAATATAAAGAAATTTTATTTCATAAATGTTTATCAAAAATATTTTCTGATTACCATTGGTTTTAGTGAAAATCTAAATTATAGTCCGCGTATTGGCGTGAATGTCATTATACCACCATGCCGCGCCCCGCACAAGTCTCAGCCAGCCAAAAAACATCGTAGAAGGTTCACGTCTGTTCGTGGAAAAAAATATTAACGTGTAAAGTATCGCAGGAGGTGATTATTCTGGAATTGTCCTCTTTACTGTCGTCCATATTATTAAATGAGTATAAACGTAAAAATTTGTTTAATATATAGTTAATAATCAATTCTAGTGATTTTTGCCGTAATTTAAAATAAGCACGAGATTCGTAATTTTGATATTTTTTACGAAACAATTGGATAAGAATAAAAACCTCATTACCTTCGTCCTATTACCTTGGTTACCGTCGCTAGCGATGGTAATGAGGTCCATAACGATGACAATTAGAATCAATTTTACGTCAATTTATTATTATTTATTACAGTGCATTATTACATAGCAAACAGTGTGGTCGCGAGTTCTATAATAATAAATAAATAAATAATACTACTACGATACAGTTATAATAATACTTTAATTCATAATAAAATAAAGAATTGTTTTTACTTTGTTTCTTGATGTAGCTTTAAGTTTGTTTATAAATAGTAAACTCACAAGCTAACCTTGTGAGTGTACTTTTTATTACTTTAGTTATTAAGGATGAGCTTGATATCATGAATACGAGCAATATCATATAATGTGCTGTTACAGATTATTAAGAACTAATAATGCCAAAGAAAGCCAGACAAACATTAGAGCAGAAACAAGAGTGCGATCGATTACAAAAACAAAGAAAGTATGCAGAAATTCAGGAAGATCCTGAAAAGTATGCAGATCTGAAGGCAAAAGAAAGAGCAAGATACCTTAAAAGAAAAGAACAGAAAAAAATAAGTAGCGCACAAGATATGAGACCTAGACGATTGAGAGTTCAGAGGAAGAAGTGAAGAGTTAATTCAAAACGTCATTATGAAAGCAAAAAGAAAGAAAAAGCTATTCAACAGTTGTTAATAGATAATTCTCCACCAAATAGTGACAATGAAGTACATTCAGCTGAACAAGATCCTCTCACTCAATCAGCTCTAAGCCTCATACCAAATTCATATCTAAATCGTTTGGATTACGGTAATAGTGATTCTTGTCAAGGGTACCTAAAGAAAATATTCTTTAGAGAAAGGTTCGCTACCTATATAAAAAATAAATAGGCATTTTGAAACAAGAAATAGAAAAAACGAAGAAACAGAAAGGTGGCATTAAAAAAATGTTGTATAGAATAATGAAAAATAAGAAAAAAATTAAAATATATCGACTGAAGAAAAAGTAGAACAATTAGTAGAAAATGTTAATACACAAAATTGCATGAAGAAATTAAAGAGCGACTAATGTTTGGTGAAATACTTTCAAGAAGTGTTGGAGAAGGGTGCAAATGGAGATAGAAAGACAAGATAAGAAAGAATTCAAAATAAGAAAGAAAGAATGTGGCTATGACGGAAAAAGAAAATATTAAAAAATATGAACTCTTAATACAAACAAAAATATTTACAGTAAGAGATAAAAAAGAAAATAAGACAGCTAAAAATGAAAACTTTAAAGAAAAAAGAGCAACTAATTTTGGAGTTTTTTGACGATGCGGAGATAACTAGAATTGCAGCTGATAAAAAAAGAATATGTAACTAAAAACCAAATAAGGAAGCAGTAAAATACTAAACGAACATATTGTTACGCGCTCAAGTCGACGGCACTAGCGCCATCTAGTCTCGAACCGTAGAACTAAACTTCTTGAAGTTGAAACACGAACTTTCGGTACCTTGCGCGTGTTTACTTGAATATTCTGGATATTTCGCTGCTAATTTATATAAATAGGCGCTGCGAGATGCGATCGGGAAGTATTGGATTTGGCGAGGCAAGCGAAGCTTCGGAGCGAAATAAAGTGAACCAGTGTGCTTAATTATTAGTGCAACAGCTACAGCTCGCGACCGCAACAAAGGATACAGCCCTAGGTGCTATGGCTGTGGGGAAAAGGGCCACCTTCGATCCAGCTGCCTTAAGTGAACCCTAGAAAGGGAAGGTGAACGATCTCAGGAAGGTAGTGCGGCCAACAGCACCGCCCAGTAGCAGCACGGAAACGAGTAAAAGCCAGAACTGCGGGGCGGGTGCTGGCTGATGTTAAAAGAGCCCCAAGGATCTCGATCTCACAAACCCACGATGGGAACAGTCTAATCATCAAGGGCGAGGTCAACGGAATGCCGTGTAAACTGACCATAGACACTGGAGCCTCTCGTACGGTTGTTAGTTCCCAACTAATAAGTCAGTTCCTTGGGGACTCCGCATACAACCGAGAACGCATTAATTTGGTAACAGCCACCGGTCAGCGTATACCCGTCCGTGGAGAGAAAGAGATGGAGTTGAAGCTAGGCAACATGATCTACATGCAAAACGTCATCGTGGCTGATATAATGGACGACTGCATCCTGGGCCTAGACTTCATGAGGAAGAATTGTTGTGCGATTGGCGTTAAGCAAGGTGTCTTGAAATGTGGACAAGAGGAACTTTTTGTGGAAGGAGCGTTACCAGGGAACGTGTACAGCCTTGAGAAGATTGTTCTTCCGCCGAGATCGGAGACGATTGTGCCGGTTAGTCTTCCTCGGAATCCTGGGCAACCTCATCGTTGTGTACTCGTGGAAAGGTTAGAAAATGACCTTCCATGGAAAGTGGCTCGAACCTTGGTCAGAACCACTAACATCTCAGGAGTACGTGTGCTGAACCTTTGTGGCCAGGAACAGATTATAGAAAAAGGCACACTGGTTGCTACTTGTGAGGAAGTGGATTAGTTACGTCGGTGCCAATATCTATCGAGTGGGATCCCCAGGGAGCAAGGAAGCACAAACGAGAGTGAGCACACTTTTAGAAGACTGTCGCAGCGTTCTCTCCCCGAATGAAATGGTCAAGGCAAAGAAGTTGTTACTCAAGCACGCTGATGTATTCTCATCAAACGATGCTGACATAGGAAAGACTGGCTTAGTTCAACACAAAATAAACACAGGTGAAGAATTGCTTATCCGTCAGCGGCCAAGAAGATTGCCGGTAGCACGTGAAAAGGAAGTGGAAACCATGATTGAGGGAATGTGAAGGATGGTGTTATTGAACCTTAATGGGTTCACCCGTGGTACTGGTAAAGAAGAAGAATGGCAGCATGCGGTTTTGTGTTGATTACCGCCGTCTGAATGACGTTACTAAGAAGGACAGCTATCCCTTGCCAAGAATTGACGACACGCTGAACATGCTTACAGGAGTAAAGTGGTTTAGCACGCTGGATCTAAAAAGTGGCTACTGGCAAGTTGAAATTCACCCTAAGGACAAGGAGAAAACTGCGTTCTCGACGGGAAAGGGTCTGTGGCAATTTAAAGTAATGCCGTTTGGGTTGTGCAATGCACCAGCAACGTTTGAAAGGCTGATGGAACTTGTACTTACCGGGCTAATTGGCGATGCCTGTCTGGTCTACTTGGATGACATCATCATCGTGGGCCGTACGTTTGAGGAACACCTTAAAAACCTGGAACGCGTGCTCATGAAGATTCAGAGTGCCAACCTCAAGTTGAGTCCGAAGAAATGTTCACTATTCAAACGGCAAGTCAACTTTTTGGGGTATGCAGTGTCGGAAGAAGGTATCCGCACGGATTCAGAGAAGATCGCAGCTGTAAAGGATTGGCCGGTTCCAAAAGACAAGATGCAGGTTAGAGCATTTTTGGGTTTGTGCTCCTATTACCGGCGATTTGTGAAGAACTTTGCAGATATAGCCAAACCTCTGCATAAGCTAACCGAGGAGAAGCGACATTTCTGCTGGGATGAAAGTTGCAATATCGCATTCCAGGAGCTCAAGGACCGTTTGTGCAAAACACCTATTTTGGGATACCCTGATGCAAGCAAAAAATTTATAGTTGACACAGACGCAAGTGATATAGCACTTGGCGGTGTGTTGTCTCAACGGAATGGTGACCAAGAGGTCGTGATAGCGTACTTCAGCAAGTCGTTGTCAAAACCGCAGAGGAACTATTGTGTCACAAGACGCGAATTGCTAGCTGTGGTAAAGTCGTTGCAGCATTTTAGCAAATATCTTCTGGGACGAAAATTTCGCTTAAGAACTGACCATGCTGCACTAAAATGGCTATTGCAGTTTAAAAATCCAGAAGGACAAGTTGCGAGGTGGATTGAACTACTGCAAGAATACGACTTTGAGATCGAACATCGCAGCGGGAAATCTCATGGCAACGCAGATGCATTGTCACGAAGACCTTGTCCTGAAGATTGCAAACATTGTACTAGGCAGGAGAGTAAGGAAGTGGTATCCGTGAGGATGCTCATGGCAGACCACCTCAGCAACGAGTGGAAGGACAGCTTACAACGTGCACAGCAGGAAGATCCGGACATCAAGCAGATTCTGGAATGGATTAATGCCAGTGCTCCCAAGCCCAAGTGGAGCGACGTCTCAGCGATGAGTTCGACCACTAAAAGCTATTGGGCCCAGTGGGACAGCTTGCTGCTTCAGGATGGAGTTCTGTGCCGTAAATGGGAAAATGTTCGGGGAGACAGCTGTCATTTACAAATGGTTGTCCCTAAAGCTAAAGTACCGGATGTTCTACAGCTGTACCATAATGATTATTCAGGAGGCCATCTGGGAGTTAAACGAACTCTACTGAAGATCCGAGAACGGTTTTACTGGGTCCACTGTCGAAACGATGTCGAGGACTGGTGTCGCAAATGTACAAGTTGTGCGGCTGTAAAGGGACCTCAGACTCGTATTAGAGGTGCATTGAAGTTGTACAATGTTGGTTCACCATGGGAGAGAATAGCCATTGACGTGGCGGGGCCGTTTCCGGAGAGTGAAAGCGGTAACAAGTATTTCATGGTTGTGATGGATTACTTCACTAAGTGGCCAGAAGTCTTCGCCATTCCAAATCAAGAAGCTTCAACAGTTGCAGATAAACTACTTCATGAAGTCTTCTGTCGTTTTGGAGTACCTTTAGAGATTCACAGCGATCAAGGAAGGAATTTTGAATCTCAAATATTCCAGGAAACTTGCCGAGTTATGGGTACTCATAAAACAAGAGCGACTTCTTATCACCTGCAATCTGATGGAATGGTAGAACGATTTAATCAGACATTGGAGAGGTACCTAGCAAAAGTTGTAGACAATCGGCAACGAGATTGGGACAAGCACATACAACCGTTTTTGTTGTCATATCGAAGCGCTGTTCACGAAAGTACAGCAGTGACACCAGCTTTCGCAAACTTTGGAAGAGAATTACGGCTGCCTGCAGACCTGATCACCGGGATACCATCTGATGCTCCACGTAGTATTACCGATTATGCAAATGACTTGCGGAACAAAATGAATGACTTTTATGAGCACGTCAGACAATCGGGCCAGCAAATTTCTGAAAAGATGAAAACCCTATACGACCGCAAAATGAACAACAAAGGGTTCGACGAAGGTTCACTAGTGTAGTTGCATAATCCCGTCCGCAGCAAAGGGAAATCTCCTAAGCTTCAAGCTAAATGGGACGGCCCGTACCGGATTGTGACCAGGATCAACGATGTAACCTACCGGATACAGAAAGGCGCAAGAGGGACTCCTAAGATCGTCCATGTGGATCGCCTGGCGCGTTATTATGGGGCCGATAATGCTCGGGACGAGCATGTCTTAGGAGGGGGGCAGTTTTACGCGCTCAAGTCGACGGCACTAGCGCCATCTAGTCTCGAACCGAAGAACTAAACTTCTTGAAGTTGAAACACGAACTCTCGGTACCTTGCGCGTGTTTACTTGAATATTCTGGATATTTCGCTGCTAATGTATATAAATAGGCGCTGCAAGATGCGATCGGGAAGTATTGGATTTGGCGTGACAAGCGAAGCTTCGGAGCGAAATAAAGTGAACCAGTGTGCTTAA